AGAGAGAAAAAAGGAAAGGAAAGGTGCAAAATCCGGGCGGGATCGGCGCGGAGCGGGCGCCGAGCTCGGCTCCCCGCGGGAGCGCCCCCGGCGAGCGCCCCGGCCTCTCCCGGCCGGAGCTCGGTTCTGTTGGGTTTGTTATTCCCCCCCACACTCCCCGCAGTTTGTGTCTTTCTTCTCGGCACAGGGAGAGCCTGAAGCCAAGGCAGAGTAAATAAAGCAAAACCACCAACCCCTTGAACTAAAGAAGAATCAGGCGGACCCCCCGGCCAGCAAGCAGCAAATCATCCCTGGGGTTCGCTGAAGCCACGCTCAAGATAATGCAGAAAAGCCAACCTGGAGGAATCAGCACGCAGAAGCCCTGCAGCTGCAGGAGCACTTTGTCTCAGCATCCAGCCACACGCCTCCGCCGACGCCGTGCCTCAAAGGCGCCCATGCAATATGCAGCCCTGACACGCAGCTGGGCACGCTCCCAGCTTCGCCTGTGCATCCAGAGCGAAAAATCAATCCCATGGCAAGCACGGACCCCTAAGCTCCTCCAGACGAAGAGGACAGTCCAATCATCGCATCCCTGGCCTGCCTGCCCTTCGGGGGAGGGATGACTTTACAAGCAGCAGAGTATCTGGTAAAGCATCACGGCAGAAAACGAGGCAGCCACACGCATTTAACTGCTGCTTCCTCTCGCCTCCACTCTGCAGGTCCCACGGTTCAGCGCTGGACCAAGAACAGGAAGCCAAGCAGGACTTCACACCTCCTTCATCTCCATGGGAAGAGGGCTAGCAGAGTTAAAAGGCACCCAAACTTTCTGAAACCAAAAATCACATGAGGGGATAATGTGACCAACATGAGTCTGACTTGCATCATTAAAGTCTGAATCACCCATGTACAGCTGAAGCTTTGGTACAAAATACAGCATGAAGCTCAGACTCATGCTTCTGAAAAAGAAGCATTAAATATGTGCCTGAAGTGCTTTACTACCCCACCCTTCACAGAAAAAGCCAGACTTTAGTGTGTGCAGAGGCTGAACCAAGACAAAGATCACCAGTTCTGATGTTCCTCATACCACACCGGAAGCCAGCTTCCAGCACGAAAAAGCAGCAATTGATTACTTGAAGAGGTCTCCCACATCTTAGTGAAAAGTCCTGAATCCATCCTAAGCTGCAAGATCAACTTGGACCAGGGCACAATTTCTCTCAGTTACTGCCTCCAGCTGACTCCAGCCCATGCACAGACTACAAGGCTTCCCCCTGCATCACTGATACCCATGTCAGAACACCAGTAGAGGTAGTCGATTTTCTCCTGGTGAGCTCAATGGGACATAGAGCACAATGCACTATACCTAGCTAGAAGTAGATCATGGTGCTGGAAGGAGATGTCACCATCTATTTTTGCTCTTTCCTGGAAAGAAAAGCACTATAAACACATCATAAACTATGAACAGCTCACACAGCCTAAGCTGTCCCTACTATTCAAGAGTCACCCCAGCCCTTCTCCACCCGTTAAATAAACCCCTGAATCACTTGCGTAGGGCAGGTGAGTTTAAGTTCACCTGTATTTGTTGTGATTTCTGCTATCATCTGCAAGTTGTGGAGAGTTGTCATGATTCCAGCTGCCTTCAGGTTGGTCGGGATTTTCACTTAATCCTCACCAAAATTTTACCCTGAGGGCAAGCCTGTGCTGTGCAATAGGGCAGGGCTCTGCATGGAGGTGCCAAGGCCTCTCATCACCCTGTCTCTGGGCACTGCCAGCTTGAGCCGTCCTCTTAGAGTGTGAAGCAGCTCACCCTGCCTCATACTGCCTTCTCACTCTCCCTGTTGCCTCCTGCCCTGTCTGTTCCAGGCCACACTGGGGTCCTTTCTGTGTCCTCCACGCCCTTCACCTTCTGCTTTTAGAGCTGGAACACTCAAATGCAGACAGGTAGTTTCCAGCACTTTGTCTGGTATCTGGCTTTTTAACTAAACCATGGACTTGACATTAGTCCAGCTGTCTGTATCCAGACTGGCTCTGTCCCACCATGGCTTCTTGGCTACTTTGATACAGAGATCTACAGATTTTAGCACCCTATGTGAATCTCAGTGGGACTTAGAGTTCACTTCCCAGGGATTTTCATTTTGAACATTTAAAAAAACCCTTGTAAAAGTGTTTTAGCTAAAGATTTATACTAAATTATTTGCTTATCAGGCATTCATTCCATAATTACTAGTGTTTCATCCATTCACTGCCACATTGCCACACACCACCCATTTTATAAAAAACTGAGCATCCAAAATTATTTCTGTCAAAACAGTTAGAGACCCTGATAAAGAATAATACATTATGTTTTCCTGTGTGTTCTAGGACAGTGCTTGAGGCATTAGTGATACACAGAACAGAATAATTGTCAGTTAAATTGTCAAAATTTTGTCAATTGCACCATGAGAGAATATTTACCTCAGACTGATGCTTTGAACCGTGCACCCATGACATTTCTTATGGCCCAGGGAGCCCTGAACTTGGATTTGCTGTCTTCAGACCTTGCATCAGATGGGTCCTCTGACTCTGGGTTAGAGCATCACTTTCCTGTCTGTCTGTCCAAGCTGGGACCTAGACCTGTTCTCCCCATTATAAATCCCCCACAAAATGTGGGGAGCAAGCAATGCAAACACTAATATTTTTAAAGACCATTTTCCACAGCCCTCTAGTGTCTATTCTGTTAACAGCCATTCAGAAAACACATCTGCTGGTTATGTGCTATCTGCAATTCATGCAAATACTCCTGAGCTGTGCATAAAACCCTAAGTGGGTAGATGTGGAGTACAGAGCTCAAAACCCAGCCATGCATTTGGGGTGAGCCTTGCTGTGTCCTAACACCACCTGAGCTCCCTAGCTTAAAGCTAATTCATCAGTATCCCCCAGATATCACATATCCCTTTGACAGAAGCTCTCTGATGAATGTACCTTGCAGTTAGGGCTGAGGACCCTTCTGGCTTCAGTTCTCCTTTGCAAGAAATAAGCATTCCTTTCAGGGGGTCTGCAGCTGTGATATTTCCTCTGGGCATTTGCCAGTGTTTGCAACACTTTCCCACCACAGCAACAAAATTCTGTCCTAAAAGGGCTTGTAAACTGGTGTGAACTCTGTCATAAACAGGGTAACAAAAGCAGCAAAGCATAATAAGCTTTAATTCTAGTGCAGGGAGTGTCAAGTCAGCTGTTTCAGCTGTTGTTACTCCAGTCCTTACAATCCAGTAATGCAACTCAAAGACTTTAATAGTCAGAACACTGAAAAGCAGTATCTCACATCATATCTTTTTATGACAACCCTTGGGGATGTGCAGCACCACAGTATCAGTGTTGCCTAAAAATTGTGGTAAATGCAGACAGGCAGGTGAGCAGCAGCAGTAACAGACAGATCACTAAGTTCTCTCAGGTCAGCAGCCTGCCTTGGAAATCACTACTGTGCTTTCCCCTGCATCTTCCTTTTCAAATCCTCCACCTTTTACAACTGCTGAATGAGCTCCTCTTCCCCCAACAGAGATCAGACCCCACCTATGTGAACTGTAAATGCATACTCATTTTGCAGAGTTCAGCAGACTTGCATTTTATGCTTTCCTATATCTCACAACATAGTTGCAAGAGTTCTTCAAGCTCCTATTCATGACTAGATAGTTAAATACCATAAAAGCCGTAAGATGTATTTATTGGCCTCTATTAAAATGAAAATGGAGAGGATCATATTTCTATCATTATAATTACTACAATGGCTCTAGAGCCATAACCACATTAATCAGACATCATAAGAATGGTTGTTAGAATTGTAAGATACTTGCCCTTAAGCTCATGGCACATAGTGAGACAAGAAGCAGGAAGCTTTAAAACAAATGATTTTAAAAATGTTATTAAACATGGGTCTTTATCATTAGCCATAAGCTTCAACAGAGCTGTATACAATTAATGTTAAGAAAAAGGTCACTTTTACCCGCAAGTGTTTTCCAGTGCAATGTTCCTTAGCAAAAATATTCAATGCCATAGCTGGGTAGAGCAGGACTTTCTTGTTAACAAATAGTAGTCTGTCTGTTTCTGAAAAAACATGTTTGTTCATTTTACGTTTTGAAAAACAGAGCTGCTGCTAAACCAGGATCCTAATTGCCAGTTTGCTGGAACAGGTCTCTGGAGAAGTTAGAAAAAACACAAACATCTCTCTGGGACCCACTGGAGACTGGAGTCCTCTTGTGGCAAAAGGTAGAGGAAAATTTCCAGTGACTGATTACTGCTGGCTGAAAGCTGGGACCCAGTAAGAGACACAGTGAGTATCTACTTTGTAAAGAGCTTCATGTCACATTGCAGAGCACAAAAGAAGCAACATGAAGACTTCACAGCTGGCAATGGGTAAGCATCAAAAGGAGCAGGATGCCACAGTGTTTTGATATTGCAGACTGTGCTTCTATTTACTGTGGTAGCTCCTTTCTTTTAGTGTGTTCCCTGCTGAGATGATGTTTCTGGCTGGGGGTTTTTTTGTTTGTTTGGTTGGTTTTTTTCTGTCTCTGTTAGCAGAGGTAATTTTTCCTGAGTGGTTCGCTAGCAAGAACTTGTCTCCTGGCTAATATATTCACTGTACAGTACCAGAGGTCAGCTCCCATCCTTCTTGTCAGTCTGGCTGAGGTGGGAAGGCAACACAATTCTAAGATCCTGTTTAGATCCTGCTGCTCTGTATTCCATCTCATTTTCTGCTGTGTTGTTTCCTACAGTAGACCCTATGGACTGCCTTGAGCTCATCTTAGGAGACATTTTCATGAATGATGGATGTTGGCCATGTTAATGCCATGATCCCTGCCTGGAACAGCACTGCAGAAGATAAAGTAAGTAAGTAATCTGAAAGTCTTTCTTCACTCACACACTGTGGTCAGAAAGCTTTCACAATATCCACATCTGGGCTTGGGTTCCAACAAAGAAGTTATCTGGCTAGCAATTTCACCCTGTGGGCCAAGCCTCCAAAGGGCTCATGAGCCTCTCACAGCGTTGATGGTCCTGCAAACAAGATTTTGAGCTTTCAGAAAGTCTCCAGCAGGAGCTTGTAGCACAGGCTTTCAGAGGAAGCTATAAAGACCTGCCAGTAACAAGATAAAAGATCACAGATCTTACCTGGTTTATTTTCTCTGTCCAACCTATCAGATGCTTGGATGGTACCCTACTTTCTATAACCGTAACCTCAAGGGCGTTTTTCAGGAATCTAAATACAATGCCATTTCAACTGCTTCATGCCAGACCTCATTCCAGAGGTTCATTTTTTGTGATCTTAGGTATATTAAACAAGACTTCTTGGGCAGACCTTCCCTTCACTACCCTGCAGCCTCACCAGCTGAAACTTTTGTCTCAAAGAGACTCATTCAGGAAACCCAAACTAAGGTCTGTGCTGGGAAATAAAGCTGTTCCACATACGTGGGTGTTACTACATCTGGAGTTAAATGATATTTAGTTGTTACTTCCCAGGTTCCTAATTTCTTACTGTTCAGCTGAAACCTGTTCACACCAAGCACCTATTTTATTTTCCTCCAAATTTCGAAGCCAGCAAATTAAGCTGAATGCTACCATTATGGCTTTGGAGTGAAAAATAGATCAAAGAGTTTGGCTGCCATTGATTTGTTCCCACAGGCCTGGCCAGTAACTATCTGCAGGTTTCACCTCAGAGAAAAGCCCAACATGCTGAGCTGATCTGGTGAGCAAGGTTCCTTCTGCAGCAGTCTGGAAAGCAGCCGAGATATCCAGGATCTGACAAATAGTCCAGGGAAATCTGGGCTAGATTTCAAAACCCTTGATAAGACATGACACAAAAACAATTTGGTATTCAAAAACATTCCAATAGCCCTTGTTGTTGGTCAGGTTTCAAGCTAATTACAAACTAAGCTAGTCGTTACAAAGTCTCAAAGGACAGAACAAAAACATTCATATATATGTAAACATATCTATAAGTAGAAGCATAGTTTGGGTTGGGAAGGATCTTTAAAGGTCAGCTAGTCCATCCCCCCTGCAATGAGCCAGGACATCCTCAACTACGTCAGGTTGATCAGAGTCCCATCCAATCTGACGTACAAATATATATATAAATGAACTTCTAACATGACTGCAATGTGAGTACATCCCCTGGGCAAACCCCTGGGCATCCCTACCCCAAATTCTGCAGTGTGGATCACTCTTCCATGGGGCTCTTCACCACGCAGAGGCTGCTCCAGTGTGGGCTCCTCTGTCCATGAGCCTCCCACAGGGTCACAGCATCCTGTCAGGCATCCACCTGCTCTGGTGTGCTGTGGGATCTCTGCATCCCTGTGGATCTTCATGGGCTGCAGAGGCGCAAGTGCTTCACCATGTTTGCACTACGGGCTGCAGAGGAAGCTCAGCTCTGGTGCCTGGAGCACCTCCTCCCCTCCTTCTGCACCCCCCTTGGTGCCTGCAGGGCTGTTCCTCTCCCATTGCTCTCATCCCACTCTTCTCTGGCCACAATTGCAACTGTGCAATCACTTCTTTTGCTCTTTTTCTAAAATATGCTATCACAGAGGCATTACCACTATTTCTAGTGGCCCAGCCTTGGCCAGCAACACTTCCATCTCTGGATTGCCAAGGACTGGCTCTGCTGGACAGGGAGGAAGCTTCCAGCAGCTTCTCCAAGAAGCCACCTCTGTAGCCCCCGTGCTACCAAGCTTGGCCATACAATCCCAATCCAACACATGTATTTCTATAAGAGATTCTCCTATCGGGCTCATAAACACAGACACACAGATCTTCATACAGGCCAGTACCAATCTCTCCACACATATTTAGTTATGTATTGACTGATCAATACTCTGTCCGTAGATAGATCTGGATCTAGACAGACAGAAATCACAGCTTAAACAAATAGGAATATTTGTTTACTACTTCATTCTCTCCAGAGGGGCATTTTGACTTACAGATGATTGAATCTAGTTCCTGACACTCGATGTATACTATTGATCTGGAGGTCAGGCCAGAGAGTAACAAATCAGCTCTATTAGTAGCTTTGTAATAACACTGTATCATATTCCCAAGCTTGCAGCTGCTTCCCAGGATGTGTTTGTTCTCATTCTTGACCCTTTTTATTTTGCCTGACTCTTGACTCACTCTTGCAGCCAGCTCATCTCTAATAAATTATGGAACTTCTAACAGCATCTTTCCTGCTCTTCTCTCCAAAATTCATCTTCTGGCTCCGTTTGTGATCAAGCAAAAAAAGTCTCCTTGGCTGTTACAATTCATTTTAAGGATTCTTTGTTATTGCTGATGACTCCGGTGAGCTCCCACAGGGGCTTGAATATCAGGAAGAAAAAGTACAATAATATTTTTTGCTGCTTTCTGAAGGGCATCTGGCTTGTCTGCACAGAGGGATGCCAGTATTTTTGTCATCCTTTTGCTTCAAACAGGGAGACCTGTCTGGTGTTACAGTCACAAGATACAATTATACAAATAAAACACAAAATACTGAAGCCTGTATGAAAAATGTTTCCTGAGAACAGATCTAACATTATCAAGGACCATGCTCTGACTTACAGCCCAAAAGGAAGGCACACAAAGGTTTGTTCCAGATTAAATTGTCTCCCTTTTATGCCACAAAGGACCTGGTTTGATCCCAGTGTCACTGATTAGATCTGTGCTGTTGAAGTCCACACATGAAGGCTTTCTTACAGAGGATAGCTTGATTTATCTACTGCTGGAGTCCTGAAATAGTGGGATAATACCTTGGGAACTATGACATCCACATGGGTAACCTGATGGTGGCCACAGAGGAGTGTAGGTATTTGCTCCACCATTTTGCAAGTTAAATTATTTGTGTCCTAGCTGTTTTCAGTCCTGATGAACTCCATTGTTCCCCTGTCAGTGACTGTGTCTCCTGATCCCTTCATACAGTGAAACCAGGCTTGCTGTGGTGTGACTTTCTCATGCTGTTGCTACATTAGTAAGCAGGAGCACATCTGTAGGGCAAAGAAATTGGTAGTGAGGATGCAATATGCATACTATTTGCATTTCAGAGAACTGGCTTTGGACTAGCTTTAGTCTGGTCCCATCAAGTCAGCATCCATCAACAACTGCAGCAAATTAGGCATGCTCCTAGAGTGCATCTCCCCGTGCTGATTCACTGAAAGGGATTCCAGGTGCATGTACTCTGAAGCTGATCTGGCTCTGAATCAAAGAGCAGTAAATAAAAACGATCTGGATGTTTGCCTCAAAACCGCATTGCTGATCTGTCTGAAAAAGAATGACATCTGAGAAACAAAGAGGCTGCTGACTGAAAAAAACAAAGGAGATACTGATGGGAAAAAACACCCTGAATGCAAAGACACAGATTTCAGGATAACGTGTCAGCTTATCTACTGACTGGTAATAACTCCTTAGATTTGCAAAAGCCTTAGAGCATGTTGCTGAGCCCTTCTGTGTTGTGCTCCCTCAATTATACCTGGCTGTGAATGTCAGGATATTTGTCCCTGTTAACAGCCAGGAGAAAACAGCTGTGTGGAGCAGTTAACCCATGTGGGACATTGCTGGAAGCAGATCCAACAGCTGAAACACCGTAGCCTCACATTCCACCCAGGCCTTCACTGGGTACAAGCCTTGCTATGAGGCCAAAGGCTGCTTTTTAAAATCAGATATTGTCACATGGTGGTTTCATGCCACTGTTCTGAAGATGAACTATGTTAAATGTAGCAGCCTTTCACATGGTAAAGATACAGGCATTAAAAGTAAGACCAGCTTCTAACAACAGATGTCTTTTAAAAAGGAAATCAGTGAAAAACATAACAGGTTTAAACAACAAATGCTACCTGTGGTTACATTGACCAAGAAATTGCAAAAAATACAAAAAATACAAAAAATATATGAAATGTGTTAAAGTGTTTATATTTGTACAGTTAAAGGAGTAATGTTCATCAAGTATATAGGAATGAAACCAGAGTTCAAGACCATCAATGATCTTTTGCTACCCAGAACAGGAGACTCTCTGACATGCAATTACTCCTTGTCCTGCTTCCCAATGGCTACAAAGAAGAGAGAAAAATGATGGGTAGAATAAAATATTTTCTTTCGCTGATCTCAGAGTAAAATAAATAATTACATTTGAGTATGGTGAGCTAATTTTATAGTGCTTTTCAAAAGTACCTTAAGTAACCCTTGTTAGGCAGAACAGAATCCAAATGAACCTTCACAGGTGTGGAGTTATATTAAAACCTTCAAATTCATCCTATTGTCATCAGATCTGTGCCAAGCATCTCAGCCAGCTTGTGCTTCTGCAGCAAAACTTCATGCTCCTCACAGCTCTGTCAAAGTGTCCAGTGAAACCAGATGAAACTCGGCAGTTCTGGACACCGTCAGAAAGCTCGCAGGATGCCTGTATCAGCAGTGACAGTGATGCAAGGCTCTGCTGGTTAAAGCCAGAGGGAAGTCCCAGCATATAGATTGGTTTTGAAAAATTGCACTTGCCACTGACAGGAAATTCTTTTTATGAGGCAGTAAAACCTTAATGGAGTTACAGTGGATCTGTAAAGGAGCAATATCATTTGGTGTCAGCTGGGGTCTGGATATCATCACGTATTCTTTTTCTTTGGGTCGCTGGATTATGTTAAATAGGCTGGTAATTTTTAGAGATATTTGAGCAAAATTGTTTCCTCTTCTCTGAAATACATGTCTTGGAAACCTGCTTATACGTGTAGACACAGTTTCTCCCTGAACAGATGTTACTTCACAAAATTACAAGGCTGTCATCTGTGGTAAATACTAAGCCGTTTCAATAAGTCTGTTCTCTGAGCTGGTACAGAACATAGAACCCAAAGGAAAGAAAGGAAGATCTGGTGAGAAAAAT